ATTGGCCTTCCATGTATTCTCTCTTATTATTGCACCTTTTTAATAAGTACCTCCTTATCATTTCAAACATGTAAATCAATGGTTTGCTCCTGGCCTCTAGAATCTGCCTATTCCAAGACTCACACATGTTATTGCTATTTAAATCACACTTTGAGTCCACTGTAAAGCCACACTTGGACCATAAATGGTGAGGGATTCTGTTCAGCCACTCAAAAACATCATTGTTCATCTTCTTAATGTTTGTCATGTGATTCTTGAACACCTCAAGTGTAAATGCATTAGAAGCATTCAAGAATTCAGTTTTCAATCTGAGACATGGAAATTTCTTCCTAAAATTTTCATACATATGTCTAGCACAAAACTTATGGTCAGTATTCTCACACAACCTGTCCAACACATCAACCAATCCCTTTTGTCTATCAAAGATAAAAGTTAACTGATAGGAGGGACCAATAAATGCCATCAACTCATTAATAATCCACTGCCAAGTGGCTTTTGACTCAACCTCCACCACTGCAAAAGCAATTGGGTAATAACTATTATTTGGGTCCCTACCAACAGCACTTAACAACTGTCCTTCATATGGCCCTTTCAAAAAACAACTATCTAGCCCTACAAATGGCCTGCAGCCTGCTTTGAAGCCTCTCCACATTGCTTCTAGACAATAAAAAACCCTCAAAAACCTTTCTTTACCCTCCTTGTCAATTTCAGTTTTCACTTTGCATACACTGCCAGGATTTGTCTACATAACAAGCTCACAGTACTCTCTGATTTTCATAAACTATTCTTCAAAATTAACTTCAATCATTTCCAAGGCTTTTGCCTTAGCTCTGCTTACCTTGAATCTAGAAACTTGTATCTCAAAATCCTTTTCAATCAACCCACTTAAACCACAATTCTTCCAAGTTGGGTCCACTCTGAATTAGTTTTGTAGTGCTTGGCTATGTACCTAGATGTTGTTTGTTTATTTGTTTTAGGTGGAATACAGTGGTGCGTACTTTTATATGTCTTGATTTGAAAGCTATTATCACTATTATTCTTTGAGGCATGAATCTTCCAACCACATTTACTAATGCACACAGCAGTTTTCATATTTTTCTCATTTTTCTTAAGCCTGAAATCATACTTGTGTTTTATAGCATGGTCCCTCAATGCTACCCTAAAATCATCTGCACATGCAAACTTTATCCCAATTTCTAAGGGTTTAATGCCCAAATCCCTCTTAACAACATATTTAGTAGCCCTAATGTTACTATCAACTTCCTCATCTGATGAGTTATGAACACTCCACAACTCATCACTTGGTGCATATATAGAATCTCCATCTAAGTCTTCTACTTGACCCCATAAAGTTTCAATATGACCATCTAAGTCTTCTAAATGGGAAGAGGATTGGGAAGATGAGTGGGAAGGAGAATAAGGTGCAGCTGTAGTTTCAGGTGCAGGTGCAGGTGTAGTTTCAAGTGCAGGTGCAAGTGCAACTACTAGTACCTTCACCAATGAAAAATTCTTATACATTGTAAACATATTCAATAGACCATTATCAGAGACTATTAACACATGATTTCCATTACTAAGGTCTCTATAATAGACTTCAGTTTTGGGATCTAAGTTCAGTAGTGTCAACATATCTTCAATTTCAAAATATGACATGTGATCAGGATCACAATTATCAAATTCATCAGCTTTCCCCCCAATATAGTTATAGTGGTCCTTATCAAATTTTTCATCATAATGTATCTCAATTGTATACTTTTTAGACATTATGAACAACACCTACAAAAATTTAAACAAACAATACTAATTAACATCAAATTACATGCATGTGCAGACTAACATCAAATTACATGCATGTGCATACAAATTATTTACATGCATGTACAGACAAATTATTTACATGCACTGTAAGGACAAGAAGATACCCAATATATTACATGCATGTGCAGACTAATATCAGTGTAAAAACATTAACAGAACCAACCTCAAATGCCAAAAAAAAATATAAAAAATAAAAAATTACACAAGTTCAAGGCAGTTTAACACTTTGTTAGACATGTGGAGCCCAAAACAAGAAAAAAAAAATAATAAAATAAAAAATAAATAAAAAAGGGGGCAAAAGGCCCTTATTTTTATCTCAAACTATAACCCTATTTTTATAAAACAACTATACAATGCATTGCAATAAACATGAAGAAGACAACATGGAAGTTATTTAACTATAATCGAAGCAAATAAAGACATGTGGAACCCAAATTCGTTGACAATCGACACAAAACAGTAAAGGGGACCACACAGATTCGAATAAAACCCTTTATCGAATAGAAAAATAACAATAACATCACAGAAACTATTGAATCACACAAATACAAATGTTATAACATAAATACCCTAACTTTTATCATCACTAAAGAAATCAGAAACGTGAAAACATAAAAACCCTAACCTCAGAAACACGTTTTTTCCTTTCAATGGTAGCACTTCGTCTTTGATCTCAAACCCTAATAGCCAGAAATTACAGATCGTCCACAATCAAGCCACGAAAATGACTGTGTTTGTTTCGTCTTTGGTGTCTGTGTTTGTGAGGGGCTATGTGTGTGTGATCGACAATAGAGATGACTGATGGTGTGGCTTGGGTTGTATAACCCTAATTTAGTGTATTTAGCCCAAACAACATAGTTTTGAGTATGTTATGTTTCATTACCCAAAACGACGTCATTTTGTTCAATGTCTATTTAGGTCATTTTAACTTTTTCAATTTTTTTATTATTATTGAATAAAGATTATTGGGGGGTATTTTCGTATTTTTACCTACCCCTCTGACAAAAAACTCTTATTTGCAACTTTTTGAAATAAGAGGGATCAATTTTGAACTGCAGGGATGTTATTTGCAACTTTTTGAAACTAGAGGGGTATTTTTTGCACTTACCCCGAAAAAAAAAAGATAAAAAAAAGAATAAATATTCAAGCCATGAGGGCGGTAAATCTCAAGTCAGCATGCATCTACATATACTAAATTTAAGACGGCACTTTGTTTTGGTTGCTTAATAAGAATTTATTAAGAAAAGGTTAAAGTGCAAAAAAATTTGACCGCTATATAGAAAATGGGTAACAAATTTTTTTGTAAAGATCCCAAATACCCTTAATAAATTTTTTCCGTACAAGTGTTTTTTATTTTGTTTTAGGTAATTTTTTTTTTCAGATTGAGAAAAGCTCTAAGGATCAGCTAATTAATTCTAATTAGTTTGTTCCATTATGTTGGACTCTGACATATCTTACCAAGTGAAAGAAATATATATATATATATATATATATATATATATATATATATATATATATTAAAAAGAAAAAGAAAAAGAAAAAGAAAAGGAAAAAATTTTCAAGCCAAGAAGTCAATCTCACGTGCATCATATACTAAATTTAAGACGGCACTTTGTTTTGGTTACTTAATATGGAGTAAGAGTTTATTAAGAAAAAGTTAAAGTGCAAACAAATTTGTTGGCTATATAAAAAGAAAAATGATATTATTGAAAATTTTAATATCTCAATTTAATTAGTATCATTACTACTCTTGTTTGTCTCTATAAAATACATTCATTTTTTCTTCCTTATCTTTTCAGTTTTCCGTAGCCCCTTTCCTTATGTTTTTAGTTTTTGTATCATTTTTTTTTTTTCTTTTTTGGTTTTCAAATTAAGTTTCCTGGTACTCAAATATAAGAATTTGATTTGTACAAAATCAAATCGACAATGTTTTTATAATTTTTCAGTGCTATGTAATATATATATTTTAAAATTTCTCTCATTGTTTTTTGTTTTTGGGAGTAATATGGATTATTAGTTTTGATCATTATAACAACTAACAAATGCCTATCAAAATAATAGATGTATATTAATTATGAAATACACAATCTTTTATATATAACGAGGGATACACAATCTAATTATATATAGAATATGCAATCTGAAATATCTCAAGAGTCGTTAGAGAGATGCAATGTGATGTATAATTTGACATATATGTTGATTGAAACTTTAATCATCAACAAAGATACTAGATTAAGATGAAACCTAAAAAAGGATTGCAATTTTCCAAATAGTTAATTACAATATATTTTAAAATAGGCCCCATTATTTTTGACACATGAGTAGTCACATAGACTCAGTGAAGTAGTATGTTTTTATTTGTCGAGATAAATAGCATGCAGGACTTATATCAAAAATGTGTAAACCATATCTTTGCTATTTAGTACATATAAATTCTTATAATTTGAAAATTTTTAATAAATTGTTCCATAGTCATTAATTTTGATTATTTTTTTTTTTTTTAAAGATCCCAAATACCCTTTATAAAGTTTTTACTTACAAGTGTTTTTTATTTTGCAAGGGAATTTTAGGTAATTTAGTTTTCAGATTGAGAAAATCTTTAACTATTCATATAAAATTTTCAGCATCTGTACCTTATATAATTATACCAGATAATTATGGGAATTTTATACAGAAAAATTGAAGCTGGTCACCACGAATTTTGAATATATATATATATATATATATATATATATATATATATATATATATATATATATATATATATACTTATTGTTATCTATTTATGGTTATTAAAGGTGATTTGTAATTAAAAGTACTTGTGGTCGTTCGTATTATTATTCTTATTTTTAAAAAAAATCAAATCTAAGTAAGAAAAAGTGTTGATTACTATTCTAATTATTGCAACAATATACTAACACTCTATTTATAGTTCAATGAAAAATGTATAGAAAGAAAATCTATTACAACTATATAATTTTATTTTTAGAAGTGAATATTAGATTATTATTTTGGTCTCCCCAAAATGAAAATTCCTCAGGTCTATTCCCTTTTGACTTTCCTCCAATAAAATCGATCATCAACTATTAATGTAGAGTTAACAGATGAAATCATTGAAGTGCATTGTTTCTTGTCATTATTTCCCAAAACTCTTTTTCATCCCAAACAAAAGTACTTCCATGGCTATCACTTCTCTCCAACTATTGTTGCATTACATTTTTCGTGCATGCATTGTTCTCTCTTTAGGCTTGGGCCAAACAAATGGTCAACCGGAAACTTATCGAACAATCATTGTTGATCAATCAGGCCATGGCAATTTCAAAACGATTCAATCCGCTATCGACTCCATTCCCTCGGACAATAACAAATGGATTTGTATTTACATCAAAGCCGGAGAGTATAGGTATTATAATATATATATATATATATATATATATATATATATACACACACACATACATACATACATGTATGCACATATGTATATAGGCTAATATGTTGTGTTCATGCAGAGAACGAGTCACAATTCCTAGAGACAAGCCATTTGTCTATCTTAAAGGAGAAGGGAAAAGAAAAACTATTATTGTTTGGGATGCTCATGGCTCAATTACCACCAGTGCTACTTTCACGTCTGAAGCTGATAATATTGTTGCCAAAGGCATAGGTTTTAAGGTAAGAAAAAAATTGGAATCGTTTTCTGTGTAATTCACATGTAAATATATTGACATGTCTATTTGATTATATATATATATATATATATCCTAAACAGAATTCTTACAACAATCCACCAACAAACAAAAATCCAGTGAAGGTGGCAGTGGCGGCTATGATTGTCGGCGATAAATCTGCCTTCTATGGGTGTGGATTCTTCGGGTTTCAGGACACTTTGTGGGATGTTGGAGGGCGACACTACTTCAACTCTTGCACTATCGAAGGAGCCATTGATTTCATATTTGGAGCCGGTAAATCTATATATGAGGTATATAAGTTTCAGCTTTTGTTTTTTTAGGTAAATTATATAAGTTTCAGCTTCATCACACTATTTGTATAACTTTTCAAGACATGTCACAAATTAATTGTTAATACGAAAACAAACACCTTTAAAAGTTAACTAAAAGTGACAATTTAATCGATTTGTTTCTTTGTTCCTAGTACAAAAATTTGTACTGGTTTAGCTTTTGAATTAGTTTCAAACATGCCACAATTGTTTATATTGATATATAAACAAACATGAAAATGTGCATGTATTACTATAGCAGACAACTTTAATAACTGACTTAAAATCAATATATATAATAAAATAAAAATATGATAATGGTACTTTTTTCCAGTTTCATGATACTAAAATATATAATTGATTTCTACAAACTTTAAAACAAAAATTGCGGTGTTTTATAAATTTTCAATGCTTTGCAATATAAATTTTTTATTATAAATTTCTCTTCTTGTTTTTTGTTTCCTATAGGGTGTCACATAGATCATTAGATTTAATCATTATAATAATTAATGGTCAAAGGCACAATCTTTATATATAACAATTGGATACACAATCCAATTATATATAGAAGCTGCAATCTGAAGTATCTCAAGAGTCCTTGCATAAATGCAATATTATGTATATATAAAACAAATTTACAATTTGATATATATGGTGATTAAAACTTTAATAGACAACAAAAATACTAGATTAAGATAAAACCTATAAATGAGACTACAACTTTCCAAATAGTTAATTACTTATTTTAAAATGAGTCCCATTTTATTTGATAGATAGATAGTCACATAGACTCATTATACTATTTGTGACTATGGTGATTTAATAAAAATGGCAATTTAATTGATATGTTTCTTTGTTCTATCAAAGTATTATTTTTGTAGGCTAATTGATTTTGTTTGCAGAGATGTTCCATTTCAGTAATTGCAGGAGCTTTAAACGGCGGCGGGCCAGGGTTCATCACAGCACAGGCAAGATCTAGCAAGGAAGAAACTAATGGGTTTATATTTAAGGATTGCAATGTGTTTGGGAATGGAAAAACCTATTTGGGAAGAGCATGGAGAGCTCATGCCAGAGTTATATATTACAATACACACATGTCAAACATTGTTGTTCCTAGTGGATGGGACGCTTGGCATTCTGTTGGCAAAGAGTAACACCTCTAAACTTATGCATACATTAACCTTAATATTGCTATATGTATATAATATTTTTATAACCCTTTACAACGCTTGGCATATAATTTTTATGAGTTTTTGAGTGAGGAAATGTATGTTAATTTATTGTATTGAAAAGCAAAAGTAGTATAAATTTACTCATTTTTGTGTTCTAAAATTTTGGTTGTACAAAATTGTTTATACAATCAGGAATCAATTATTTTATGCCGAGTATGGCTGCAAAGGATTGGGATCAAATAATTCAAGCCGCGTTGAATGGGAAGAGAAGCTGGATCAAAAGACATTGTCGTTGTTTACCAGCATGGAGTTCATTGATAACGAAGGCTGGATGAGCGCACAAGCTTTCAACATGTTAGCTTGATGACTATCCAACAAATACATACTTTGTTAATAGTTATTTTCCTAACTTTCGTTTCCAATTAATTTAGATGTATGTTTATTTGAGGTTGTTAGGAGATTGGTTATTATTATGTTAAAAATATTCAACTCTCAATTTTGCAAATCTTTTAGAAGATTACCAATTGTTTTGTTTAATTAAATTTCTAGAGAAATTATTAGATGATTTCGTTGCTCCAATTCAAAACGTTTGAGGTTGATATATATATAATGTTGATATATATATATATATATGGGTAATATATTAATACACAAAGTCCACTTTTATTAATCGGAGAATTGAACAAGATCATCAAATGTCAATGATCTTCTTATTTTTCATGAGCGTTTTTTTTTTTTTCTTTCTTTGTAATAATTATGTTATATATATAATTAAACAGAAATAACCGAGGAGTAAAATTAAGGTTAATTAGCTTATGAAATGATGATTAACCTTAATTTTACCAAGTTGTCCGGCCCGGCTTCTTTTCTTTGGCACTGTCAACAACTATTGTCTTAATTTACGAGGTAGAGAAGTCTCTCTCATATTAGCTAAGGCATATACATCGTCATCTTGAAAAAAACTCGGAGGAGATTGAAGGTGCTTGGATTGTAGAAGATGGAAGTACCTCTAGAAATATATCTTCAAGAGTTATTTCTCTATTTTCTTCTAAAATGGTTGTTTGAATAAAACTATTTGACGTAATGACGTAGATAATTTCGCAATTGGTTCACTCTTTGTTTTGCTTTTTCTGCATGGGGCTTTGGATTAGTTAGGGGTGGGACTCCAAACAAGTTGGACTGGCTAAGGGGCCAGCCTAGTCTAGATCCAACATACTCAAAGGCGAAGTCGGGGCACAATACACTTATTGAAGAAAAAAAAAAAAAAAAATTGAAAAGGAAAGAAAAATTAGAGAAGAAAATTGAAAAAAAAAACATTGAAAATTTTAAGAGGGCATTATTCAAAATTGCCTTATAAATATACGTATATAACAAAAATGTATGTATAATAAATTAAAGCAAGTTTAGGAGGGCATGTGCCCCTCTAGGCCTTGATTGACTCACTCTACGTACTGATATCTCTATTCACGCCAAGCTCAAGTCCCCAAAACCCACTATATGTGAGGTTCTAATACCTCAACCCACACCCCCAACCCCAAAAAAATCCCACTATATCTCAATTAACTAGCACTCGTAAGTTTTCCGGGTTATTTAAAATTTCAATACCTCAGTAAATATATACATTGCATACTCAAACTATAGTCCAGAAAGGGGAGGGGGCGGCCGCTAGGGGGCTCTCTCTCTAACTTCTAGCATGGTTATCAAAATCGCGATTTTGAATCATAGAATCGCACGATTTTATGATTCAGAACTCAAAATCGATCCAAATCTTAACAAAATCACTCAATTGGTAGAATCGGGGGTAGAATCGATAGAATCATTGGTAGAATCGTAGAATCGTACGATTCTACATGATTTCACCGATTCTACAAAAATTAGGTATTTGGGTGGGCCTTTTATGGTATTAGTTGTTTGGGCCTTTATACTATTGGTTATTTGGCCAACAAAAAGAGTCTACTAAAAATAATAAGTTATATTTATTCTATAAATTATAAAATATAAAAATATCACTACGACTTACAAAACCTTAATTTGTTATTACAGAAACCACAGAAGAGGTGACAGAGGCCCAAAGAGAGGAGATCGGATCCATATAGTTTCAGACAGTTTCGGCCAGATGTGTTCATTTTCTTTTTTTTCCTTCCTTGATCAGGTGATGATGGCTTGATCCAATTTATTATTAGAGAAACCCCTAATTTATTATTATAGAAACTCCCTTTGTTAAGATTAGTTATGATATAAAATCTATATCTATACAATATAGATTGATTTTCTGTTTTTAACTTTTAATTAATTAAGTTTATATTCTTTTTATCCACATCATATATTTATCATGTGATAAGTACCTAATAAAAAACTACAAGAAAAAAAAAAAAAAAAAAAAAAAAATTAGTACTCATGTATTGGTATGTATGTGTGTCAGCATTTATTATTAGTATATCACAAATATAATATTGTATAAATTATTACAATATTGTATAAATTATTAAATTATATTGATTTTCTTTCTTTCTTTATGCTTTATAGTTGAGGAAATTTATGCAGTGGATGATAATGAAGACATAGATTGATGATGCTAACGAGGAAGACGGTGATGATAAATTATTAAATTCTATTAATTTTCTTTCTTTCTTTCTTTATGCTTTATAGGTGAGGAAATTTATGCAATTGATGATAATGAAGACGTAGATTGATGATGCTAATGAGGAAGACAGTGATGAAGATACTGATGGTGAAGAGTTCAATGATGACTTTATGAATATGTAATTTTAGTTTCTAACTTTGGAGATGGTTGAGTTAGGATTTAAGATTTGTGACCTCTTTGTTATTTTGAGTTACATTCTCTTTTATTTATATTCAGACTTTAGAATATTCTCTTTTATTTATATTCGGATTTTGAAATATTGTTAGGATTTGAGATTTGTGAACCCATTGATATGTAATATTGTGTGTTTTAGCCTTATTTTAATTATATTTTACAGATCTTATTGTTTAAGAAGTTAATTTCAATTATTTTTTCACAATTTGGTAGAATCTTACAATTCACGGAACCCAAAACGATTCTGCGTAAAATCCCAATTTTAACAACCTTGACTTCTAGTGAGAGAAACCCCATCTGATTATCAATCTTTTCGTCCAAATCTTTCCTCCATCAATCACTTCTTGCATAATTTGTGGAGGATAAAGTTAAATTCACTGCCCAGTTTTGCTTGTCTTTTGGTTTCTTTGTTCATCAGAATATTTTGCTCCTCTTACTTTAGAAGTCCTCTGTTCATCAGAGTTTTGGAGTGTTTCTCCAAGGTGGTGTGATCTTTTTGTTTTGGGATGGCTCCCATCTCTGCACTTGGGGATTGTGGTCTTTTCCTTTTGATCTGGGTATTAATACATTGTTCTTCCTGTATTTGTTTGTTTTCAATTTTTTCGGCTTGCCTTCATTTCATATTGTTCCCTCAGTCTATTGGTCTTTTTTCTATGGGTTTCCATAGAAGGTCAATTGACTGTTAGTGACGTGGCGCCTCCAGTTGCCTTGTTCTATGGATAGTGGTCGGGTGTGGCAGGAAACTAGACCGACGTTGGTGAATTGCTCTTCTAGTAATTCCTGTAATTGGCGTTGTTTATCTGTTGAAGTTGTCGCTGATGGTGAGTCATCGCCGTCTTTGCCGTTTTGCATTCCAACGCTCGCACCTAGCCCTCGTTCGGTCGGTTTCCAAAGGGTGTGATCCAAGCTTTTTTAGGGAACGATGGACAGCATTTTCTAGTTGGTTGGCTACTTACTGAAACCTTTTATGGATTTTCTTGGCCATGGTGTTCATTATTTTGGCAACCGTTGGGTAAATTGGTCAAAGCCAACCCCAAGTTTGTAGTTGGGTCTTTGGACTTGGAATTGCTATTCCTGATCCATAGCCGATAAATTCTCCATCTGTCACAGTCGAGTGTGCTGGAGTGTGGGATCTCTCGTCAAGGTGAACCTGGGATGTAGCATTATCATATGACTGTCTTATCGTTGTCCGGCATCATTATTGGTAGGGTTGCAACTCGGGCGGGCCCAACCCGAAATAACTAGAGCTCAGCTCGAAATTTTGTGGGCTTGGGCAATGTTTTTTTATTTTCAGTTTCGGCTTGGGCTATATAATTTGAGCACGAATTTAATTCGGGCAGCGCTTTGATTGATATGGATGAAGCTAGAAGTTAGACCTAAGCCCGAAAATATTATGTATATTTATAATTATAATTAAGTCACAAGAGTGTAGTAGTCAAGTTGGTAGTGTGATTGGGATTTATCCTTAAGGATTTATGTTCAAGTCATAGGTGCTGCATAAATTGATTTATTTTCTGTGCCCTAAGCCCAATCAATGATAATAAAGCTACCCTCTTTGGTCCTACCGCTGCTAGGCCAAGTCCAAGGGATGGGATTTGGGAGAATCTTTTATGCATCCATGAAGAAATTTGGATCTTGTTCCGTATGTTTGTTCCCCCCCCCCCCCCCCCACCCCCTCCCAACACCAAAAAAAAACTCAAACTATACCTCATATGCACAGAATTTTCGATTTGTTATTTGTTCTGATACCATATTTGATTATTAAAAAATAATAATAAAAAAAAAACTAAAAACTAAGTTTGATCGACAAGATTTTGACAACAAAATATTCAATTTTTCAAAAGAAGAAAAAATAAAAATATAAAACGAAAAGGCTTTGTGTGCGCTGATATACAACACCAATGGAAATCAGTATAGAACTTGATTGCTCATGTGCAGAAGTGAAGCAAATAAATACATCTTTAATGAAAAAATATATTTGTAAAAAATATAGTGGACTTGTTAAAACATTTAAAGTCAATAAACTATCAACCCCTAATATTTTAAGTAAGGAAATAAACTATGTGAAAGTTAAAAGAGGCTATGCTGTGTAGATATTGTCATGTAGAGTGTATCCAATTGAGTCAATGAATAAAAAGACAAATGACAGGCATTAAAATTTAAAATGCATTATTTGAAGCAGTTTTAGGAAGTAGGGTCAATATATGAAGCCAAACTGGACTTTAGTCTAGGTGGTACCATGACCTGACCTCCACTTAGTGGCGGACACAGAGGGGGGCTTGGGTGAGCTTGAGCACCCCCTAACAAAAAAAATTTTTTTTTTTAGTATAGTATGTTTAGCCCAAATTTTTTTTTAATAATAGTATTAGCCCCCCCTTTTAACCCATTCAAAAAAAAATTGCTTATGAAATTGTGTAATTTAATTTATGTTCAATACTAGCCCCCCTCGTTGACAATTCCTGGATTCGCCCTTGCCTCCACTTGTTCAAAACAGAGATGGGGAGTTCAAACTTCGAGCAGAGAAGCAGCAGCCCAAGTCCTTTGTC